CAATAACCCACGGGTGCGCGTCAAAATTGTCCTATAGCTCGCGAAATCCTCACATCCAAATACCGCGATGACATATTCGGTCGCGCGCCACACAACAGCTCCCAAGAATCGCGTTCGTGCATCGATGCATTATAATAAAGTATACATACACGATGCACACAGCACGCATAATGCAGAGAGACAAGTATAAATACGGGACGCGCGTCCCTCTCTTGCCGAGTGTCATTCGAAATGCATTAACGATATTATAATTGCGGCCGGCGGTACGCGCGTGTGCGAACGCGGGCACGATTACATTCATCAATAATGTCGAGTGTATTTAGCCTCGCGTATGTACGTGCGCGATGGCTTTATAATATATATAATACACGTCCGCAAGCCTGTTTTTTTTTTCTTCTTTTTTAATAACCAACGCGGGGCTAACGGCAGTCGATGATTATAAAGCCACGTACCCGCGGCATGGGGCACCCGCGAGTAATAAGGGTAATATGTAAATTTTACATTTGATTTGTCGAGTCGATGGTTAAAATTCATAGTGTATACGCGGCATGCCGAGGAGCTTATATAATATACGTATCGCAATTGCACAGAAGGTATATATTCATGATATTAAAGCTACAATGCAAATACTCTGTATCGTCAACTCTGCTGCTGCTGTGCTACTCGCGAAACTACTGCGTAAATATTCCATTGCCTTGGCTCTATACGTACACTACGTTGTATATACGTATACGTAGATGCAGATCCGCGTATTATATACGTTTCTGAAGGCAGATGAGATTTTCGGAATGAATGGTATATAAAAATAATATGCTAATACGGCGGACGAGCGGCGCAGGCAAAGCCACGACTGCGGCAGTCAACGGATTTTCATATACTATGAAATATATTCGAAATAGCGATGGACATTTCGGCGAGCGAAATGAAAAGTATGCATACATACCAGGGGCGGATCCAGAGGGGGGGCGATGGGGGCGATCGCCCCCCCTAAGGACCCAGTCAGTGCATTTTTTTTATCTTTGATTATGTAACCATGAGCAGTCAACCCCACCTAGCTCAAGCAATTTTCAAATAATTAAATATGCAATCCCAAGTAACCCTAAGTAACTGTAAGAAACCTAAGAAACCCTATCGATCAAACTCCTGTCTTTTATAATAATTAAATATGCAAACCTAAGTAACCCAAGTAACTAAATTGCTCAAGATCGCGTGGTTTTTTATTCGTCAACATGCAAGAATAAATAATCGAAGTGACCAGACACTTTCAAAATTTTTCGACAACAGATAAACTATAGTATGTATCCGAATATACTCAGCTTGTGCCATTTTTTTTGATTTTCAAATGTGGAATCATAAAAAATTAGAAAAAATTCAATAGCTGGATCGCAATGATTACATGCTGTAGTTTATCTACAATGAAAACCCAAAAGTGTAAAAGTTTCTGTGGAAAACTCGTGCAATTTACACGATTCAAAAGTTTTTCAAGGGCAAATTACACTTTTTGAAAAATCGTCACAGAAAAAAAAGTGTAAAAACGCAATATAGCAGAAAAGATGTATGAAGCATAGGCTACGCTTGTTTTAGCACTCATTTCACATTTCCAAAACCGGTAGCTTGCGCATCTTACACATTTTCTGCGGTGACCATTTTTTCAAAAAGTGTAATCTGCGCTTGAAACACGTTTAAAAAGTATGAACTGCGCTCCTCGCACTTCTTCCAGACAACAGTTTTCAAAAAGTATAATTTGCGCTCGACATGCTTTTGAATAGTGAAAACTGCAGAAAAATATCACGATTCTCCAAAATCCTTTAAACTTTTGGGTTTTTAACCGATTGAGTTTTTAACCGATTGGGGGTTTAACTGGCAGCTTTGTGATACCATAATATTGCCTGCATTTTAATCGATATTACCCATTCATGCAGTGGAACTTTGACTCTTTTTGAGAGTCAAAATTCAACTTGATCATTGATAATATACTTTTTCCTAAGATACAGTGCACACTGTGCACATCACACAACTCGCAATAGTTTTAGTCGTGATACCGCCATTTAAGCTTTTTTAAAATTATGAGGCTTTATTGCTGT